TACCTCTGGTGCAAATTACTGACCTCTGTCATCATTTTAGGTGGGGGAACTTGCACAATCGGTGGCTGACTAAATACTTTTTTGCCCCACTGTATACATCACTTCTAGATTTACATCGCAACTATTATCTGTAGATTTGAATCAAAACATTTTAAATTTACCAATCGATTTAGATCTTCACTAGTTTTGGATCATTTTATTTAATTTTTCAAAACAATTTCTTTCAGTTTCAGTCTTTCCATGTGTTGTCCATGAATCTGAGCTGTGCTCATATGAAGCAGAGTCTAATCACTTCCTACATGCCATCCTGTCACAGTGAGTGTAACCTATAATATACTACCTCATTGTTACTTACAATATGACCTATTTACGGAGCCCATAGAACATATTTGTCTGATTCGTGTGTGTGTGTGTGTGTTCATGTGCACACTCTTACAGTAAAGGTGAATCCTCCTTCGAAGCCAGAAGTCAACGTCACCTCTGTTTCCTGGTTGTCCGAAGACCCCAAACATGAAATGATCAGTTCATACGAAAGTGAAGTGCAGTGGAAGCAGCAGGATCAGTCATGGAGTGTAAGTTTAGATTTTGTATCACAATGTGAATGAGTTTGGGTATGAAGTCGAGATCCTGAAAGTGCACGTTTAAATAGTGTGTACACACGATCCTTGCCCTGTGTTTGTGTGAATTCATAGCAAGAGTAAATAAAGTGATATAAAAATCTTTCTGTCTGTCAGGATCCCCCCTTTCAGAAAAAAGGTGACATTCAGTGCGAGAATGAGTGCAGGGCAGAGCTGGACCCAGACAAACTGATACAAGGCGAGAAGTACGAGGTACGAGTTCGTGTGCGGTCTGTTAAACCTCGACCCGAGGGAGCCTGGAGTGACTGGAGCCCCACTGCATCATGGGAGTCACCAGTAGGAAAAAGAAAACCACCATCAGGTACTTTTTTTTGCCAAAAAGAAACTCTGCAGAGTTCTCTTTTACATTCAGTCCTGCCTTCTCTCATTTTTCTAAGCTAACGTGATCGGCTCTGTCTTCTGTTTCAGTACAACAAGGACACACATTTTATAAGAGCAACTAAAGCCCACAGAAATTCTGTATTTGTTATACCTGATGAAGTCAGTACAGTCAGTACCATTGTTATTCTCTGTTTATGTAAATGACATGCAGCTCCAAGATAGGAAAGTGAAAATGTGAAAATATGCTGATGATATGGCTATTGTTGGTCTTCTATAGGAACTCGAGCCCTAATGGTTTTGCTCAGGGATGCAGGTTGAAAGAAGGGTGTAAATTTCATTATTTCCTTATTAAAAATGAAAAAGCTTGTCTTGAATTACCCAATCCTCATGACCGGCTTCACTTTCTGATCAGTCTGTGAGAGTCATTAATATCTTTAAGTATCTGGAAACACATTTTAAGGACAAGATTTATTTTTTTTATGCTCATTCCATTTACAGGAAAGCTAATTGGAGAATATTTTGTTATTTTGTAACATGATTGTTAGAACTACCAGAACAATTACTGGTCGATAGCAGCCTTGATTGGAATCTAGTATCTTCAAGCTGTCTTAAGGAAAGCCTGGTCTATTGTTACTGACCCCAAACACCCTCTTCACTCTGATTTTGAATTAATGCTGTCAGGATGACGTTACAAGATGCCTCTAGCTAGCAAAAATGTCTATAAGAGATCCTTTGTGTCAAAAGCATTTAATATTTTTAAAAAATCCATCATATACTGTGAAGTATTTCTATAGGTATATTGGAGTTTTATTTATGCTTAGGTTTGAATGCGGTCTGATTCCTACCAATATTTTTATTATGATTTTATTGCCTGGTTGATTTTTGACTTGGTGAACCAAAGACAATTTTCCATTAGTGTGGACGATAAAGTTATTTTATTCTGTTTTTGTTTTTTTTGTATTTTTCAGATGTTCCTAGACTTGTTGTGTGCATAATTACAGCAGGTGTTGTAGTGTTAATGGCAGTCATTCTCTGCACAACTAAAAAACACTGGTAAGCAAACTTTTCCAAAAATATTCTGGTATGATGTATTAAAAACAAAAAGATTCTTTTTGACAGCTTCGGTTTTGATTGTAATTTTGTTGCCTCAGGGTTTATGTAGTAAAGACAATGAAAGGTCAGCCCGTACCAGACCCAGGAAAATCCTCCCTGCAGAATGTACATTTTAAGGTAAGCATACAGGCTCTAGATGCGTCCTCTTTACTCTCTACTGTTAAATCATGTAATCAGGTTACAGTTTACAGTTTAAAATGAAAAACAATCGAAGCTGCCATTTCAGGGCAGTAAAAAATAACATTTGTGTACTATCATGGTGAACATGTTTGCAGTAAATGTACATGACACAGCATTTATTTTGAGCTGTGTGTCAGCCACATATGACTGTAAGTTGATGTGGCAGGCCGTGGCTTGCGGTGCTGTGCAGGGAGGGCAGACGCACCTGCATGGCATCTGCAATCATGGCCCGCCTACTTAAATACTGTAGTGGGTCCTGCGTGTGCACAGCAACCATAAAGTATTAATAAAGAATGATTAAAATACCACTGGGTCAGCCGTGGTCGTTTACAGTCGAATACTGAATCTTCTTTAGTTTTCAGTTCAAATACTCTGTCATAACCATCTACAAATAAAAATGAGATAACTGCAGCTCATAAACAGACACAGCATGCAACATAAAAAGAGAATTACTGAAAGTTGTGCTGCAGACAAACAAAATTGATCACCGATCCATTCATCTTTTTAATCCTTTTCTTGAAGTGCAGACTGAATATCTAGTATATTTCAAACGTTTCTAATCTCTTCTGTTCTGTGACTTTCTCTCCTCCAGAGTGGGTTCTCCAGTGAATACTTTCACTCCTTCTTGAAACCAGTGGAAATGATCAATGTAGAATTAATCTCACCTGTGGATGCTGCTGTGGCCTACAAGCCAGATGAGAAGATGGTGTTGAACAAAGGCAGCTATGACTCCACCAGCTCCAGCTTCACTAACCCAAGTTACTCTGAGCTTTGTAGCCCTCCTCCTATTTCCTCACTCACTGCTGGGAATCTGAAGCCCTGTGCGGTTGACACGCCTTATGGTCCTGTTGGTACTCAGGGTGAAGGAAAAAGCGCAGAACAGGAAAGTGATGAAGCGAGAGAGAAAGAAAAGGAGACGTTAATGCTGCTGCTCAAAGGCAGCAGTAACAGTGAGCCAGTGCAGGTGATTTCAGACTACGAGAAAACTGAGAGGCTCGACAATGATCGATTTAGGCTCCAGAGTCTAGATTCAGGCATGTGCAGTTGTGCAGAGGTCAGTGAAGAGAGCATGGAGGCAGATAGCATCAATATGACTGATAGCCATGATGAAGAACCTGAGGCTGAGGAAGAGAAGGAGGGAGGGAATGAACAAAAAGCAGATTTTCAGAGGCTGTTTGGAAGCAGCGGAGGTGTGTTTGGCAAGTCTATCCAGGTTTGTTCTGATTATGAGCGAGTGGAGAAACAGCAGGCTGACAGCCCGGAGCTTCCCAGCTTGGATTCAGGTGTTAGCAGTGGGGGAGAGGAGCAGCTGAGTCAGGATGAGGGCATGGAGGATGCTGATAAGTCCACTGAATCTACACGCTTCCTGTTTCCACCTCATCCTTCCAGTGCTTTACCATGCTCCCTGCTCTCTTTTCCACAACTGCCTCTGAACTTGCCTGGGCCACGACTGAGTCCAGCTTTGCAGCTCCAGCCAGGTCACATGACACAGGGGTTTGCTCTGATGTCAACAAGCAGGTCGGTGGAGCCCTCTGGTGATGGATATATGCCAGTGAAACAGGAGGACGGCTGAGAACAGACAGCAGGCTCAACTAGCAGGACAACATAGCATGTAGCACTTGGAGGAGTCATCACAGTCACTCAGTTCTCAGGAAAATGTAACATCACATAATTCTTTCTCTTCTGCTCAGTTTTCAGCAACTTTGACAGTTTCATGAATGTATTTTACTTTTGTTTTTTATATATTTATATAAATATTTATGCCTGCTCAGAAGCTCATACTGTCACCCCAGAATAAAATAATGTGACTCTTTCTACAATGTAAAGGCTGCCCTCTCTGCCATCATACTAGCTGACCTGACTGACTCTAAACTGCGTAAATCTGTGTAAACTGTGGTAAACTTCCCTACATGGACTAAAGTTTTTGGCCACATACATATTGAGCAATTTAAATCCATACCATGAAGCTTCCAGTGCACATTTTTTATCCTGATGTCAGTGGCAGAGGAGGTTTGGAGCTGTGCAGAGCAGAGATGGGCAGTAACGCGCAATCCGATTACTTTTTTCAAGTAACGAGTAAAGTAAGGGATTACTGTTGCAAAAACGGTAATTTGATTACCGTTACTTTCCCGTAGGAACGCTGCGTTACTGCGTTACTAAAACCGTGATTTTTTTTGCGAGAATGTCTCATGACAGTAACGTAAGCAAGTGCGACGTTCGTGACAGCAGCTGTGTGCAGATCAACAATGGATAATATATCGAGTGCAGGAGAGAGTATGAGCGTGCAGCGTTTAAAGCGTGGAAGTACTGACCTTACTTTAAGTTTGATTCCATAAAAAGTGACAAAAACCTGCCCCAGGGTAAACCTCCGCCTACGCCACTCCTGCTTTACAGGTGAAAATAGAGCAAAAGGGCCGCTGAGTCTTTGATTTTATTTATTTTCTGCTGTGTTTCACTTGCATCTATTTGAAAGACTGAGTGTAAAAACAAAAAATATTTTATGTTATGTGCTGGAATGTGCAGAAAATAGGTTTAAATATTAAACAAATTTCTTCCAGTCAGAGAATGTTGCATATAATTAAATTTTTGCTTGATGCATAAGTTAAAAGATTAAAACTAATAAAACAAGTTTTAAAGAGACTTTTCCATTTGATTACATTTTGTATGATGGATTATGTAGAAAAAGTAGAATTGGGCTGAAAGATCTATCGCTTTATCACCTATTCAGGTTGTAAATCGTGTTTTTAAAAAGTAACTAAGTAACTAAGTAATTAATTACTTTTGAAAATAAGTAATCAGTAAAGTAACGGGATTACTTTTGGGGGGAAGTAATCAGTAATTAGTTACTGATTACTTTTTTCAAGTAACTTGACCAACACTGGTGCAGAGCCTTGGTGGCTTTTATCTCAGCTTATGTTGTCTGACATAGTATTACGGTACCACACTGTGAGAGCAGTGAACTGTTCAGACCCATTCTTTCACAAATACTTGCAAAGGCAGACTGCATGGATGCTTAACTTTATACACCTGTAGTCATGGAACTGAAACACCTGAATTCATTGAGTCAGAGGTGTGGCCCAATACTTTTGGCCATATAGCAGCGTATTTAACAATGTTGGATTGCTTGTTTGTAACAGACTAACTTGGTAACTTTATTGCAGGAAACATATCCGGTCGTTAAGTGATGACGTGACGAATCCTACTTCCGGGCCTAAAGTAGTCTGCGTTTAATATGGCTTTTGTGTTGTTAACATGTTTAATGTTTTGTATTTTCTTCTATTTAATCTCAAAAAGCTCCTAAAACAGTCAGTGATCACTGTTGACCTCCCTCGGCTTTTATTACCGCTAATCTACAGCCCAGCCCATGCAGCAGTATATGAATGACTAACCTCATATTGTGGATGGATTATCTCAGTTGTTCTCCTGGCTGAAGTTTGGTCCTTTTACAGCATCCTGCCATGCGATTACATTTGTTCCTGACCACCGAGAACACTCACGTTAACTTTTATCGAGTGGAAAAAAGTTAGCTTGTTTATATTATGCTAACATAGCTGTGTCGCTAGCGGTCACGTAGCACATCATTATATACCAGCTAGCCAAACTTCAGTAACCCTACAAATCGTCACTGCTGTTTAGTTTTCTGTCTTCATTTATGTTGGAAGTGATAACAGAGCTGTACGTTTTAATTTGTTTCCAAAACCCCGCAGTCAGGACATGCTATATTGTATCTAGATAGAAGCTAGTGAGCTAACTTCCTGCTAACTTCTAACTCCGTTAAATATCATAAATTTGATTTTATTTATTCTTGTGTGGCAGCTATTTACTGACTTTAAGAAGTTATTTGAAATTATGTCATTTCATGAATAACAGTTATTTTCCATGAAAACTAAAAATAGTTAAAATCTCAATAAAAATTAACGAGAAATACATGCAATTTTGCAGTTTTTTGGCTCAACATGTCGTTTTGAGGTTAGGGGTGCCATTGGGTCATGGTTAGGTTTTTGGGTAAGGGTTAGGGTTAGGCATTGATTTCTGATGGTTGGTTAAGGGGCATTATGTCAATTCAGTGTCCTCACTAAGATGTGAAAACGAACATGTGTGTGTCTGTGTGAAGTTTTGATGTGAATCTGAAAAACACAATTTTGAAAACACTGGAAAGACCTGAAGACACTTTTTCCTTTTCTTTCTATGCAAACAAAAATGCCCACTGAGGCTTTTCAGTGTGAAATTTTGTTTGTATAGAAAATACCTGTGCCATTTGTCTCTGTTGCCATCTACTGGTGAACATCACCTTAACACTACATCAGGTGAGATTTTCACTCTGCACAGCAACACAAAACTCTTTTAACAACACAAACAAACAACAAAATTAATACATTTTAAAATGATGTAGACAGCTCAAGATAATGTTAACAAAGACTCAGTGAAAACTGAAGTTTATCTTAATCCTTAAAATATGCAAGGAATCACAGTTGCTTATGTCCAGCATCACTCTGTTATTATAAAATTTATCTAAAACATGGCCAGTTTAATGTCTTAAACTGAAATCACATTTTGATCAACTTAAAATCCAGCTGATTTTTTACCCAAAGAGTTAGATGTGACATATAAAAAGTGGGCAGGACAAGGCTTAAAGGTATACTGTACATTTTATGATAAGGGAACTCTTAGGGACTTCCAGTCAATAAAAGATCAATGCCAGTTAAGCAATAGTGATTTTTTTAGGTTTCTCCAAATCCAGCATCATCTACATAACTTTATACCCAAGAGAATAGATCTTTTCTCTCTTCCTGTTCTGAATATATTTGTTAAGGCATACTATGCAGATCCTGGTCTCAAAGTGATTTCTAGACTGTACAAGTGTTTACAGGAAGTTAAGAATATGAATACAATTTACATCAAACAGAAATGGGAAAGGGAAACAAATATGGTAATTTCAAATGACACTTGGTATCAGCAATGTGCTCTGTTATACGGCATTTTGAGTCTGGCTGCCCGAAAGACTAAATGGCTCGGTGTAAAAATTCCATCACTAAATGACATGAAGTTGTGTATCGGTTGTTTAAAATGGAAAAAATTACATTCTCTAACAGATTTCAATATGACACATTTGTTGAAATTTGGGACACATGGAAACATTACATTTAGTCAAGGCGTTCCGAATTTGTATGAACCTCCATATTCCAGTATCTTATATTTTTGAATTGTTATGTACATATGTTAACTAGTAGGTACATCCCTTGCTTTTTGTGTTTGTTTGTTTATTCTTGTTGTACATGTTGTGTTTTATGTTCCCTATTTTAAAAAATGTATATTTAACAAAAGGTCGACATACTGAAAAGTGACTTTCACACTCTTTAGAATTGTGCCTGTAACTCTGTTTTTGCCTTATGTTTCAATAAATTGCTGCACATATTAAAAATAATAATAATTTAAAAAAAAAACAACTAAAACTGAGTCAGCACCAAAAAAACCTCGTACCTTTTAAGAATTTGTCCATAAACAGTAGCATTGCTCTTGAAATACCGGGGCTAAATCCAGACCTGAAATCTATGGAATTTTCAGTCAATACAGTATACTATTATTGTATTTAATAGTAAAATTTATGTAAAATGTCAAACATTATATGCTACCTAAAGGTTGAAGTCACAGAATGATACTGAAATAAACAATCAATGCAATTTGAGTTTGTTGTTTGTTGCTAAAGTAAAACTTTTGATGAAGCTCTGGTGATAGAGCCTGTGCCTTTATTGTGCCATAATGTCTCCTTTTAAACTGTCCTCTTGCTCGTCTTTAGGATGCTATACCTTCTTCACCTTTCCTGTTCCTTTCACTAAACTGCTCACTCTTGTTCTCCCTGCTCTCACTTCCTGTTCTGTTTAGTCAGCATGTGTCAAAGAAACCCCCCAAAACTATCATTTTTTGATATGATTATTAGATATTTAACATGTTATTTATCAACTTATTTTATGCACTGAATCAATGAATTATTAAACAAATACCACACTGTAGAAAATCAAATTATTAATGCACTAAGCCAGTGGTCCCCAACCCCCGGGCCTTGGACCGGTACCGGTCCGTGAGTCGTTTGGTACCGGGCCGCGAGAGTTGAGGCTCAGGTGTGAAATGTATGGTTTTCAGGGTTTTTAGCGTTATTTTGTTATCGTTTTTATTGTTAACTCTGTTTTCCTGGGTCTTTTCACATGTGAAGCAATTTCCTGCCACAACAGCTAAATGGTCCTCAAAGAAAATACTGAATGCCTGCACAGTACAGGCCAGTATTTAATGCAGCCACAGATCTACATCAGTCAGCATTCTGCTCTTTCCACCTCAGTCATGTCACTTTCTCATGTGAGTGACTTCTTCAGTCTCAGCTGACTGCAGGTTTCCACAATCTCATAAACAGTACATTTGCACAATGACTGACACAAACAATGTGCTGTGAGGTCAGTTTCATGACCATTAATATGCAAATTGTCATGACCATTGATCAATGGCCATTCGCAGAGAGTTGGGAAATGGCTGCAATCACAGCATTGTAAGATGGTAAAAGATGCACCGTTAGGCTATCTGGCTAAGTGGATGGGACAACACAGAAGAGCTAACTCATCAGGCAGTTTATTTATGCCTACAGGCATGATGAAGACATGCTGGACAGGGAGGAGCACTAGTTTGAGTGCAGAGTCAAAGAGGCCATTTACGTGAAAAGGGAAAGACCATCTCTGAATCAAGGAGGGGGCCTAAGGGAATCATAATGGGCATGGTTTTTTGTCTGACTGGTATTCTTGGTCTTCTTGAAGCTTTGTTTGATTTCATGAAGCTGTCTTGAACATGTCTACATGCCTAAATGCTTTGTATTGCGGACTCACAATTGGTTAATTTGATATTTGCATTATTGAGCAGTTGAACAGGTATACCTAATAAAGTGGCTGCTGAATGTATGTAATATGACTTTGCTGGACCATACAGTAGTCGATGCTATGCTGTCAGGTTGTATATATTTTCTTTGTCTTGTTTCTGATCTGTATGTTTTCACGAGTATTATTTTGCTTTTCTCCATTTCAGCAATTTTTCACATAAATCTGTCTGGATCCTTTTTACAGAGTTTTGCAGAAATCTTTGCAAAATCAGTGAGGTTTTGTAAAGGTAAAGTAAAGAACAATTTAATGTCCAAGTCTTAAAAAGGTGGTGAAAGATTGTTATTCATTAATCACAGAGTTGAAGTGATTGACTGACTGGCACATATGACAAATGTGAAAAACGTTTTGATTATTGTCCTGTCTTTAGTACAGGTGAGTCTGTGTCATAAAACTATTTTGAGAACTACATGAAGTGCAGTGAGAATAACATTCCTGCTGTGAACATCGTGCCTAATTGATTGAGACAACCTGTAAAGCCAGGGCGTGAATTACAGCGGATCCTGGCATGACATTAGCACTCTTCATTCTCATACCTGAGAAAAGGTTTGCAGTTTTTCTCAGTTGCTTTGGTGCAATTCTCACATCTGTAGCCGCTTTCTCAAAACAATGATCATTAGTGGGAAAGAGTGATGAGAAGAATGTTCCAGCTCTGAGATTTCCACCAAAGTGACTAAAAAACAACAAAACAAACTGTGTTACAAATATGAAATTTTGTCTTACTGGTTCAACTGTATTACAGTAACATAAAAGACAGTTATCCTGCTTAACATACTTGAAAAGGCACACATAGAGACCTCTGTATAAGCAGTTACTAATGAGATTCCCCCTAATGTATATCCCAGTTTAGAAAAACTTAAGCAAAAGCGGAAGTTGTCTTTCTGTTCACAGAATAACATTTATGCGTTCAATTTCATTAGAAAAAGAAAAAAAGAATCTAAGTATTCTTTTAATATTTCTTGTTACGAGTGGCGGGTGTTGTTATGCTAAAAACATTTTCCAGTCCAACAACAGAAGTGAATGAAAAACGGAGAATTAATACCATGACGTGACGTTTCAGTCACAGTCATGCCTAACCTGTTTGGATTGTGGGATGAGCATTCATTTAGTGGAGCAGCCAGCCAAAGTGCAGCATCCTGTAGTGACACAGAGACAAGAGACAACGTTACACAATGCCACAGGTAAGAAATTCAAATGGAATTTTAATGAAGTTCAGATGACTCAGAACAACTTTTACTCAAAATGCCATTCATATTGTTTTAGTCAAAATAGCCTACCTATCTGGAATTTGTTCCAAAATATTATTTGGCAGAATTATAAAATATTTTTTTAAAAATCAGGTTTTGGCAGTTAATTTGGTCATTTTGTGCTGAAGAATGAAGCTCTGTCCAGCTCTCAGTCTCCGCAAACCTCACAGTAAACTGTTATCTTTAGAACGGCTTTCTAGTATTTTCTATATCACCATGTTGCTGCAAGGCTTTTCAAATGTCAGTTTTTGTGCTTGCTTTGTAAACTGCAAACTTTATGCAACTCACCTTGAGTCACATAGTCAAGAAAAACATCGTCTTCACTGCTTAATACCAAGCATACGTAGGGAGGGGTCATTACAGTGTGAGCATGTAAATGTCTTAAATATGTTGCTTGCTTGTGCTTGTTTTTCATGTCTTTTTTTAGTGATTTCTTCTGAAACTTTATTTAGATGTTACATTTACGTTACATTGACATACATATATTCATATATACAAGCATCGTGCACTTGATTACGCCGAAGATGATTGGAGTCAATAATAAAGGAGTTATTAAGTAATAATGTAGTCAGAACAAATCATTGGAATTCCTATTGCATACAACTGCTTCCCATATTTACTGTATGGGTACCATCATTGCCAACATTATATTCCCTTAGAAATGCTTGTATGTTTGAATGCATTTTTAGTATGTCTTCAGTTTTGTTACTTTCTTAGTCAAAGGCTGACTTTGGAACAATGCCACTGATAGATAAACTGATAAACAGCCATTATCAAATTTTACTCGGAGCAAAAGTGAAACCAGTCAACAATCGGTGTGTCAGCTGCAGAGATGTCATCAGCTTTGTTTAGCGGACCTGAGATCTTGAGACAAATTCCATTGTAAAAATGTATAGATCACAAGATTTGACTCAACATTGTAATGTGAACATGCACTTATGGTCTCTAAGAATAGAGGGGGGGGCAGTGAAACTGTAGATGCATTTTTTGATAAACTTACATAACTCTTTTTGTAACATAGTGGGACCACCTTCAATTATGTTCCTTCTTTTGTACAGCCAAAGCATCCCCTTCCCCTGCCAAGGAAACAAATCTCACTTCTTGATGAGCCAGAAAAAAGTGCTCCCCTGTCTCCCACGAAATCTGGAGAGGTTTGGGTTCAGTCGCCTACACTCTCAGAAGTTTAAGCAGTGGCTATATATAAACATATATGGTTTAATTCTAATAGTTTTTAATTATTTGGTGATTTTTTTCTCTATTTTAAACTCAGGACATCTGCTCGAGTCCACCACCAGTGTCACCAAAGAAGTGGACTGTTAAAAAGAGTCCAGAAGGAAATGGAGTTTTTGTGGAAAAAATAAAGGTACCGCTGGTCTATATCTAATGTTTTTTTTTCTGTCCACATCTACTCACACAATGAATGCTTTTAATGTGTCACAGAAATGTAGTTTATCTGAAAGCAGTTGAATTGCAGCAGTACAAAGGTCAGACATGTGCATTCAAAGAATCTGAAACTGGTGTGTCTGATCAAACTCTCTGTCATGTGAGATAACATATGAAGTATGTGCACAGTTCAAACAGGATTACCATGTTCAAGGTTGATCTAATGAACATGGATTGTTTCTCTTTTTCTAAGATGCTGGATCAGTGTTTTAAGGATAAAGGTGAACCCCCTCCACTGCCTCCTAAACCCCATCGACTGCAGCTTGATGATGAAAATGAAGCCCTGGTAATTACTTAAAATAAACACAGCATTAAATTGATATCAAGTGATTGTTTTGTCATGTTGTAGTCACTTTAAATCATCTCTCTTTAATTAGGATGCTGAGAGTCTGTCAAACTCCTACAAAGAGTCAACACGTGAGTAAAAATATCCAGCTTGAAAAGATTTCAATTGGATGTTGTTTTTTGTGGTATCCTGTTGTTGCTGAACTGTAGTGTCATTTGCTTCTAGCCTGGAAAACTCTGTCCAGTGAGCTCCAACTTGGTAGAGTACCAGAAAAAGTGTAAGTTTTTCCTCCATGCTTTTACATGTGGGAACAGTAGTTATAGTTAAAATGATTGTTTGTTGGCACTAAGTTTGTCTTTGGATTAATTTCATCTTCAATCAATTCAATGCAGCTTAATTCAATTCAGTGACATGCAGACACACCACACAAATGTGAGCATCTTCCTCTCTTCAGACATCGTTGTACTTCAGTCTTTAACAAAGAGTCGACAGACTGACAGTACTGTCATGAACCTACTCGTGCACTCCTTTGGCTACAGCACTTCTTTTATACCATACAGCTGATTGGCTGATTGCACGTGTTTAAGTTCAGGCCTAACTTTAGTTCCCAGCCATTCACACAGCCTTTTTGCTTAAAGAACATCTTTGCATGCTACACTGGCTCTCGCTGCCCAAAGCTGAGGAGGAAAGCAGTTTTCAAGACCACAAAATTTCACAAAACATTTGGAAGAAAGAAAGAAAAAGAACAATGCAAGTGAAAGTGAAGGCATGCAGAGATGCCGGAAGGGGCTCGTTCTCTGTGACCTTTTTGTTCATGAACATACACAACTAGGGCAGGGCTGGCAACTCCCATATCTCTCATGATAATAATTAAATATGAATGCCTTTTTGTTATGCATTAGTTTCACTTTCTTAAATTAATTAAACAAGTTAAACAGGAATAACTTCCATAAACATGGAAGGGCACAAAAGAACATTTTATTTTATTTGACATTGGTGACTAAGGCAAATAAAACAGTTTTTTGTGTGTGTTTTTATTTTTACTAAATGAGATTCATTAGAATGATGTGGCTAAAGACATCTGAGGTTAGTTGTTGATTTGAGCTGTTTGGAGGAGTCTTTCCTGTACTTTCATTACATGTCTCCTGCTTCAAATGATTAACGACACGCAGATTCAAACTGATTTCAAATAGTGTCCTGAGTAAAAAAAATAAATAAATAGTGTCCAGGGTGCTGCTTTCCATCTGGTCCAAATACTTCTGTAGAGAAAAGAACCGAAACAAAAGCAGACTTTTAATACAAAACAACTCTTAATAGTTTGAAACACATAAAACTAACTGCTTAAGAAAAGATATACTCACAGCAGGCAGTCATGACACACGTGTTTCACCAAATAATCTACCACAAACAAAATTAAAGAAGCAGCTCGTGAAGCAAATGAAGACTTACACTGTAAATTAAAGTGCAGTTTTCCAGTTATCCGTGATAAATGCAGTGCTTTTCCTAATTTAAGAAAAGTCCGAGAATCACCAAAGTTATTACAGTCTGTTATCTGCGGATCATGAATAAGTGTGTTTAAAATGCAATTGGTTTTGTCGATATTACAGGTGAATTAATAAAGTTTTTATAACACATTCTAGGGTCATAGAAGTTAAAGCCGAACATCTTCATAAAGCTTTCAATTCTTACATCTCGACGACATCTGGGTGTCAAGGCGGGCTGAAAGAAAAAATAGACGAGCTTGGCTCCATCGCTGACAACTTAGATAAGGTGGCGTGGATATAGTTATGGATATATGTACATCTGTGTCCATGGGTTCCCTTTTTAATCATTTTCTTTTTCAGGTATCAAAGGGGACAAAAATCGCTGGCATCACAGGAGGCGCTACAACTGTAGCAGGAGGTGTGGCAGCAGCTGCTGGGGTGATCCTGTCCCCGTTCACGCTGGGAGCCTCGCTGGCGCTAACTGCTGTCGGGGTCGGCGTGGCTGCAGCCGGCGGTGTTACTGGTGCATCAGCAGCCATCGCAAATAAGGTGACGGTCTTTAAGGCACTTGGTTAAAACATCTTTGTTCATGGTTTTTGTAGGTTGATAGGTTTTCCTAAATTTTTAGGAGAAAATACATTTTTCAAATCTATTCTGACTCACTTTTGTTTTTGTTCTTTTGTTAATTTGGAGTTCCAGGACTTCAATCTAAAATGCTGAATGTCTTCTTTTACAATATAAAGTCTCTCAAGATCAAAAGCCCTGTTTTTATGTTATCACAATTTTTAAAAAGGGTACTAACTGGAAACTACCCACACTAGTTATCTGAATTTCTGGTATTGAACTGATTGTGAAGCATGTTTTTCCAGGTGAACTGCAACCAGGACCAGAAGAAAATTGAGAAGGTCTTTACCGACTACGAGTCCCTCAGTAAGGGCATTCAGGAGAAACTTGCTTATGTCATTGAGGGCATAGAGCAGCTGAGGCAGCATGGTGTCATCATGCTCGAGAGGACCAAGGTGAAGTCAGAGAGGGCCTCCAAGTTGTTGGAGTTCTTTGGTCTAGGAGGGCCATGTGCCAAGGTCTTGGAGGCAAACTCCAAACCGTCTGGGATGATAGAAGGCTTCGCCCTCGGCATGGATATGTACTTCACCAAAGGAAAAGATGGAACCAAGGTGAAGAAGGGCTTTGAGTCAAAGTTGGCAAAGAAACTCCGCTCCTTGGCGGTGGATCTCCAGGAACGACTGGATGAGTTCATCAAAATCAAAGAACTGTTTGAAAAGTATTGTTAGGAGGGTATTTTTCTCCACTTGAATATCTTTTGTTTTGGGGTTGTCTTTTAATGTTAATTTTCAGTTTTTACAAAAGTTTATTGATCGGTGTATATATATTACTTCTTTGGCAACAGGTTTGAAAACAGAACAAAACTTTTAGTGCAACTTTAGGAATTGTAACTTCAAGCAGTTTCTTTTAAATGGCATGTGGTTATTAATGCTGTATAAAACTGAGATTGTGTTAACCTCCCTTACTTTAGCCAATTTTTCCTGTTAAGATTATTTCTAAAACTAATCTAATCAGATTTTGTCGATTCACACCTTAAGCTAGGTGTTAAACAGAATGCCATGACATTTTTAAAAATGACTTCTAAATAAACTACTTAAAGACCGACACTATCCACCAGGGGGCAGTGTAATTCTTTTTTCTGTTTTTTATTTCACCTGATACTGAGTACAGTTTTAAAATACATAGACTTTTGTCATTCCTAGCTTGACTTTATATGTCATGAGTGGTTGTTAACCGTAAGCTTAAAATGAAACATTTTAAATGTTACTTCTCCATAAACTTACTCAGGCCCCAGACCTGACTGTGTGTCATACAAACCATATCACAATTACAGAAATGCAGTCAAACTTTTTCTCAGTGTTTATTCAAATAGTTCTGCCTATCATTCAACCTATTTATGCTATAAACCCTTTTACATTTTCACACTATCATAAGGTGTGGACACCTTGGGTTGTGAAAAAAAGTTTGAATGACCTAAAAAAAAAATTAGGGTTTGGGTCCAAATTAATGTGTGGCTTCAAGTGTGGTCTTCTGCTGCTGTAGCCCAACTGCTTCAAGGTAAGATTTGTTGTGCTCTTCTGCATGGTTTGTTTATAATCGCTGGTTATTTGTGTTACTGTTGCTTTCCTATCAGCTCTGGTGATTCTTCTCTGGTCTCTGACATCAACAAGGCATTTTCACCCTGAGAACTGCTGCTCTCTGGATATTTCTCTTTTTTTGGACCAGTAGTTTTTGACACATTCAGACCAAAAACCATGCCTATTATACCTTACTTCTTGATGCTCTGTTTGAACTTCATGAGGCTGTCTTGAACATGTCTATATGCCGGAATGATTTGAATTACGGACTCATGATTGGTTAATTTGGTATTTGCATTATTGAGCAGCTGAACAGGTATACCTAATAAAGTGGCTGCTGAATGTATGTAGTGTGACTTACAGTAGTCGGTGCTATGCTCTCAGGTTGTATATATTTTCTTTGTCTGTTTTCTGATCTGTATGTTTTCACGAGTATTATTTTGCTTTTCTCCATTTCAGCAATTTTTCACATAAGTCCATCACATTAACTTTTCTGTCTGGATCCTTTTTACTCTGCATTATCCCTGCATTTTTTGCAGAAACCTTTGCAAAGTCAGTAAGGTTTTGATAAAAGTAAAAAACAATTTCATGTCTAAGTCTTTAAAAGGTGGTGAAAGAAAATTGTTATTTATTCATCACAGTATTCCTAAAGTGTTCCTTTAAATGATTTCCTTTAATATTTCTTGCGACAAGTGGCAGGTGTTGTTATCCTAAAAACAACATTTTCCAGTCCAACAACAGAATGAATGAAAAAAGGTGAATGGATACCATGCCGTGACGTTTCAGTCACAGTCATGCAATCTGTTTGGTTTGTGTGATGAGCATTCATTTAGTGGATCAACCAGCCAAAGTGCAGCATCCTGTAGTTACACAGAGACAGCAGGCACTGTTACACAATGCCACAGGTAAGAAATTTAAATAGAATTTTATTTAAGTTCAGACGACAACAACTTTTACTCAAACTGCCATGCATATTGTTTTGGTCAAAATATCCTACCTATCTGGAATTTGTTCCAACATATTTCAAAAGAACTGCAAAGGTTTTGTTGCCAGAATCATTAAAAAATTTGAATTAGATTAGATTTGCACACAAAGCAAAAGTGAAATCAGTCCACAATGGGCGTGTTAGCTGCAGAGATGTAAGCAGCCTTGTTTGGCGGGCTTGACCAGGTAGATTAACAGTTTGGTTGTCTGGAATTTCAGCTCTGTAAGCTGACTCTGAATTGAAATATAATGTGTTCAGATTTGTAGTTCCTTAGAAATCTTGAAGCAAATTTCACTGTAAAAATGTATAGATCACTAGATTTGACTCAATGTTGTATCATGAACATGCCTCATGGTCTCTAAAAGTAGGTTCATTGAAATTGTAGACCACAGTTCTACTTTGATAAACTTATTCTGTGTTACATAACTATCTTTGTCACATTGTTGGCAGCACCTTCAATTATGCTCCCTCTTTTCTCCAGCCAAAGCTTCCGACTCCCTCGCCACGTCCGACTCCCCTGCCAAGAAAACAAATCTTCCTTCAAATGAGTCCTAAGACTGATGAGCCAGAAAAAAGTGCTCCCCTGTCTCCCACGAAATCTGGAGAGGTTTGGGTTCAGTCGCCTACACTCTCAGAAGTTTAAGCAGTGGCTA